TTAAATGCATAGAAAGAATGCTGAAACAGATCTATGTTAACACGATTTGCCGATCTTGCCATTCTCAATAAAGGAGAGTTTTGACAGGCATTGGTTCTAGGAGTAGGTGTCATAAATAGAAAATCAAAGCGAAGTAATCTCGGAGGAACGTGAACACATATAGAACCAACAAGCATTGGAGAATCACACTTGTTGTTCAAAAGTTTGTAAAAATATAATATATCCCCACAAAAGCGACGCTGGTTGAGGGTTAACATACGAAAAGAAGTGCAAGTTGATTCGTAATCAATGTATTGAATGGAAAATTTAAAACAAAGGTATTTGAGGAATTTAGATTGAATACGCTCAATTCTAGATTTATACGAGAGATACTGAGGATTCCAAACGACGCTGCAGAAGTTAAGTGTGCTGTAAACATAGGCAAAATAGAGATTTCTAATTGCAGCAATGTTTGAAAAAGCTACCGTTGATCTCATAATAAATCCTAACATACGCCAGGCTTTGGAGACAACAGTATCGATATGTTTATCAAATAATAATTTATAATCAAATGTAACACCCAAATCTCTAATAAATGAGACACGTTGCAACCTCTCACCAGCGACGCTATAATTGTAGTGGATTGTGTTCACCCTCCTAGAGAAGGAAATAACATTACACTTTGATAAGTTTAATGAAAGGCGATTATTTAAGCAAAAAGCATGTAGATTGTTTAAGTCAGATTGCAGTTTAGAACAATCAAGAGGTGAGGAGATACGGAGAAAGAGTTTTAAATCGTCAGCATACATTAAACATTGGGCATAATTAACGACGTCAAATATGTCGTTAACATAAATATTAAACAGTAAAGGGTCCAGATGGCTACCCTGTGGAACACCAGAAGGAACCGACACAGGATTAGAGAAAAAACCGTTAACCGAAACAATCTGGCATCTCTCCTTCAGATAGGAAGCAAGCCATAGCAAAAGATTTCCCTGAACACCAAACTTCCTTAGTTTGAACAGAAGTAAGTTGTGATCCACCCGGTGGAAAGCTTTACTAAAATCCGTATAAACTGAATCAACCTGACAAGAATCATCCAGAGTAGATAAGATATACTGGGTATATTCAAGCAAGTTACTCTCCACCGAGCGACCAGCAAAAAAACCATGTTGTCTAGAATTGATTTTAGACTTAAGGGCAAAGAATAGACGTGCATGAACTACTTTCTCAAACGCTTTCCCAAACGCTGGCAAAATAGATATGGGGCGGTAATCGGATATAGCACCACGGTCCCCAGATTTAAAAATGGGAAGAACAAAAGCCCGCTTCCACAATAAAGGAAAGACACCCATTATCAATGAAGCATTAAATAAAATAGTTAAAGGAAGGGACAGAGAGTGTGAACATTCCTTGATTAAAATTGATGGAATACCATCAGTACCTATACTGTCTGTAACCCTGATGCCCATCAGGGCCTCCTCAACCTCAATTCTGTCAAACTGCATCCGACTCAAAGGAAGGGTATCCATTTCTATACAATCTACATTCTGCTGGATTGGAGCAGGATCCACAAAAACCGAAGAAAAGAAATCAGCAAACAATGAGCATACTCCGACACCTTATAACAGCTATATCTCCACAGATATCGCACGTAGGTTTTTCATTGGAAAAGCAAACCTCCACGGGATTTTCAAACCGTTCTGGTCTCTCCTCTATATATCCAGATGCAAACCAGGCGTATTTAAAAACATTAATAAATCGTGGGGAAGACAACTGGTTATGCGTTAAAGATTGCAATTTTAAAATATTATCTCGCTGATGCAAATTGACATCGTACTGGTAGAGAATAACTTGATCAGAAAATCTTCTAATGAAATTTTTCCATATTCTAAAACCAAATACATCCAGGGGTTGAATTTTATCTGTTGTCCCTGCAGGTATAGACAAATATTTAGACTTAACATCCGATGGAGTTACTTCACTAATAATTTCAGGGCAGTGGCCACTCCAAGAAACCAGTAATAGTAATGATTTGGGTCCGGTGTTTGGGAAATAGACATCTTGTAGTCAATTTTTCATATGAGCAGAAGTCAGTTTACCAGACTTTGATGCCAAAACGAATATGTTATCTGCTTTGAACATTGTATTTATTACGCTCGGTCCAAACGTACCAGAGGATTCTTTTAAAGCAATGAAAAGAGGAGAAAGTAGCTTTTCATTTGCAGATATGATGGGTTGAATTGTGTTGTCGATGACACCGACTGGACCACGCTTTCCACGGTTTTAACCCCTAAAATTGTAACCCCTAAAACCCCTTTTAAATAAAAATAAATTTAAAAAACTAAACTAACAGTGTAGAATACAATTTGTGATACTTAACCATTTTTTTCAGTTGCTTTCTAACTCATTATTAATAAATATTTATATAATTATCCTAACTTTTGTGTTATTAAATAGAATAAGGATAAAAAAGCTTTATCTGTAGGAATATGAAAGTTATTAGCAAAAATATATTTTCTACCCCAAACTTATACTTAGGTGACAATTTTCATATTTCAAATGGAACATCCTGTATTTCATTACATTTTTGAAATTTTTGTTCAATTTTAGGCCACTTGTATGTTGCAGCCGACACGTACGCGCAATTATTTGGTTGCACTCTCCATACCATATTATTATCAGATTCAAATAATCCTCATTACTAAATTCCAAACGTGGCGTTTCTTGAGAACAGATCACTATAAAAGGTAACCTAGCCATCACACCAACAGAAATAAACCATAGCTTTTGCAAATGTCAAACTATTTACTCTTTCCTTACTAATCCTCTGATAATACATAACCACAACAACATTCCCAACACAAAATTTTTTTTCCGGCGGTCAAAGTAGATGGTTTATAAATTATAAAAACCTGAAAATACTTTAGTTAAAAGCTGGCATCAAACATCACAAGTCTGCAAATTTTCAAATCTCCACTTCATTCGGTTATTCATGGCACGCTAGGTTAAACGATATGTGTGCATTTTTTAAAAAACCCAAATTATCTCCCAAAGTATAAATGTTAGGTATAGGACATATGGGATATAAAAGATGTAAAATGAGACACTGAAGACGACTAAGTAATAAAATATGAGGCGTGCCATTTAAAAAAATTAAGTTATGGTACTTCCAAGTTTTGAGAAGTTAACGTGCCATAGTAAAGTGACCAAACATTCTAGACAGCCGTACTCGGCACCAAAACATACTCCATCATGTTGCTTAAGCATGTTCTGAATCCTAAATTGATATCCCAAAAATCGAGTGTTCTCTGATTGTCTGCTGGAGCAGATTTTTCTAGAAAAATTCGAGTAACTCGAGAACGGCTGAATCAAATTGCAAAAAGTAAAGTTATTCATAAACCTTGAAAACAGACAAATCCAAATATGTAAAAATATACAGGTGTTCCATTTAAAAAAATAAAGCAGGTGGGGACTTCCGGTATAACCGGAAGTGCTAGAAATCTGAAAATATTTTAGTCGAAGAGAACACAATAGATAATACTTAAATCTGAATTTTCAAATTTTTATTTTGGCCAGAACCCTGTAAAGTTCTAATGGACGGTCGTCGTGGATGACCTGTATAAGATAAGTTCAATATGGTTACAAATAAACTAGCACTTCCGGTTTACGGATACGATCCAAAAATTGATGCGAATCTTAGATTTTGTTATAACAGCTATATACGAAATTGAATTGTCGTAGCTTGGTGGGTTTTTGATTTTTTTAATGAGGACCCATTATTTCAGTTATTATTCATTTAATACTTACCATGTAAACGCCATTTTTGGTACACTTACAACAAACCGTTGAGTTCCCAATTTGAATGTTACTTCTGAATCATGTTTTTTTAAAACATCAAATAACTCATAATTATGAGGCAAGTAATTAAAATTTGGAAAATTTTCGCTCAAGTACCTCCACAAAGGTTAAAGGTATCTAATCATACTAATTTCTTTCATATAAAATTGGAAATAATCGACTAATCTTTACAAAACAATCCCCTAAGGCTACACCTCTAAATTGATTATAGAGGGTCAATTATATTTATAGCAACTTTCTTAGTACCTTAAGGAGGAAATGTTGTAAATATAGGTTGTTCCAAATTGATTTATTTGTAATAGGATAATTAATGTTTAAAATATGGAATTGCTAATGTTCATGCTTTATCCTAACATCTATTATCACATCAATAATTAGAACATCTACCAATAAAATAAAAAAAATTATCTTTTACCATTTTTATTTATTAAATGTACTTATACATTGTCTTAACTTAAGCAGCAGGATCTTCTCCCTTTGTAGTCCTTGTGTAAATAAGTTGGGCATGATGTTGAACAACTTGTTTAATTAAACCTGAAATAACCCATTAAAGTGTAAATTCACCTTCAAATCTTTATAATTACAAAAAGATAATAGAAAATTTCCAATCAGCCTCATTAAATCAGTTTTAAATAAAACATCATTAATCTTTCAAGTTAAAAAAAATTTGCATCATAAAACTCAATAAATATCTCTAAATAATAACCACATATTCTTACCTTTCTGTTGTAATTCAATCAAAGCTCTCCTTGCCAAAGATCCCCTGACCTTTAATCTTTCAGAGACTACAGAAGGCGTAATAAGTTTGTATTGTGGGACTTCTTTATAAAGCTTCTCATAGGTAGCTTTGTCAAACAAAACTTGGTTGTTTAACTTATCCCTGACTTTTCCTTTGGACCACTTCTTCTTCTTGGCTTTACCACCTCCGGACCCTTCTTTTTTCTTCTGGGTCTTCTGTGGTTGTTTAGAAGAACCCTTCGTATCCTTCTTAGGCGGCTAAAAAAAAGTTATAATCAGTAAATAAATTATCATTAAAATATATTTCTTAAAGAATTTGGTTATTTTAAATAAAATCAGACTCATTAAATCAGTTTTAACCACCATGGGGTTTGTCTAGAATGAAAAAGGATCATCACTTTAACCTATAAACCATGCGTACATCATTGGGAATGTAAAATCACGATAAATTAAAAATTAAAGATGAATTTTATAACGGCATATCATCTGAGATTAGTTACTAAAGAGTTTCAGTGGGAATTTAATATAAAAACACGATTACTACCAAAAATAATAAAATAAACATGTGTCAACTCACCATCTTGAATAGTGAAAGAACAACGGAAAGGCAGCGGCGGAAATCGAAATTACTCACAGCGCCATCTAGTTGTGTATTTTACCAACCCAACAACTTTAACTTCCCTAAAATACTAATTTAATTAACCATATCATACAATTATTATACAAATTTAAGATGAATTATATTATGTTCTTTAGATACTTTGAAAATTAAATCTTTTTTAAATTTATTTAAATTGTTACAGCTTCTATACACCTGACACACCCCGCCATCTATCTATTTATTCAATAATTTCTAAACCAAACCCAATAATTTTAATTTCCCTAAAATTACATTTTTTTTAATAGTTTACAATTCAAAAGAAAATTTGAATAATATTATAATAAAATTAAAACTTGTAATCTCAAATTTCCAATTTTTATTGTTTCAAAGATAACATTAAAACGGTACACGTCAGGATAATAATTTTTTTAGGGATTTTACGTTTTTTGTTTTACCTAATCAAGACATTTGTCAAAACTGTCACTGACAACATGGCAGTTTGTCGAAGTGTCAGCCGGTTTCGGCTGCCAAAATACGTATAACTAAAGCATGGTGTCTTTTTTAAACAAAAATTTTATTTTGTGTAATACATATGGTCTTCATTAAAACAATAAATAACTTTTAAAATTTATGCGCTAGAAAGCGTAGAATATACCAAGTTTTTTTTGCTTTCTTCGAGTGATGGATAGATTGTTTACGTAGTGTTTAAATCGCCACGTACTATGCTTCCCCTATCGCATAAAGACACCCTTAATAGGGGTTTCGGCTCAAGGATAAAAGAAAAAATCAACGGCTGGCTCAGATTAATTTTCTCAGATCGAAACTCTAGGAATTTATTTCTGTTTTTGTTACTAAACTTATCCTTTGCGTTTGTTGAGTTATCTTATGGAATATGGACCAACAGTTTAGGTAAAACAAATATATTAGTTCCTATTGTTGTACTTTTATGTTAATAAAATTTATTTTAGGTTTAATATCGGATTCTTTCCACATGTTCTTCGATTGTACAGGCCTGCTAGCTGGCTTAGCAGCCTCTGTTATAACAAAATGGAAAGCTAATGATAAATATTCTTATGGATATGTTAGAGCAGAAGTATTAGCTGGTTTTGTGAATGGTTTATTTTTACTTTTTGTTGCCTTCTTTATTATGTCTGAAGCTGTTGAAAGAGCCATTGAACCACCTGAAGTAAGTTAAATATAATAAAACATGTACATATAAAGTTTAATCTAGCAAATAACATAATAAATAAATATTTGTCACATGTATTTAATGTACAAAGAAGTACAGTACATAGTAGCTTAGGTTTAGGTTTTGATTAAATATCAATTTACATAGAAATTGATAAGATTTTATTGTTTGGTTATTGAGTGTTTATTAATCTAAATTACAGTAAAACCTCGATATAATGGATTAATATGGGTAATGGACTGGCTGAATGACAAAATATTGTCAAAATAATGACAAAACACACAGTCTAGTTTTAGTTAAATGAAAAATATATAACAATCTAGCATTGATTAACAACTAAAACTACAGCTAATATTAGCACTAGAACTAATGTTAGACCTAGAACTTGAAACATTAGGGTTAGATGTGCGTCTCTTAAGATGGCTAAATCCAAATGTTTCTAGTTTTAGTGTTAGTTTTAGTTCAATGAAGAATATACAACAATCTAGCACTGATTAACAACTAAAACTACAGCTAACATTAGCACTACAACTAATGCTAGACCTAGAACTTGAAATATTTGGGTTAGGCGTGCGTCTCTTAACCCTAGGATGCATAAACCGGGCCTCTCAGGCCCGGCGAGATTTTAATTACTCATAATTTTTATAAAATAATTTCAATCGGCTTAAGCATTTAGATATGCTCTAAACACGTCTTTATTCAATACACACTTGATTCAAAAACATTCAAGTGTAATTAGCAATCGAAAAAAAAATCATTTCCATTAGCACCCCGTATTTGCCCGTATTTNTAGTGTTAGTTTTAGTTCAATGAAGAATATACAACAATCTAGCACTGATTAACAACTAAAACTACAGCTAACATTAGCACTAGAACTAATGCTAGACCTAGAACTTGAAATATTTGGGTTAGGCGTGCGTCTCTTAACCCTAGGATGCATAAACCGGGCCTCTCAGGCCCGGCGAGATTTTAATTACTCATAATTTTTATAAAATAATTTCAATCGGCTTAAGCATTTAGATATGCTCTAAACACGTCTTTATTCAATACACACTTGATTCAAAAACATTCAAGTGTAATTAGCAATCGAAAAAAAAATCATTTCCATTAGCACCCCGTATTTGCCCGTATTTGCATAAACCGGGCCTCCGAAGCCCGTGTACTACTAGTTACTATAGAACAAGTTTCAACTTGTTCATTACAGGTTGAGGGTTATTATAATTTGTCAAACACTGCTGCGCGAAATTGTGCGTGTCTGTGCAAGTTAAAACGTGCATTACTGTTGGATGTATAAAAGTAGGTGCAGCTGTTTTTCATTCAGTTGGAATAGAAGTTGGATTGAGTGAACTTGTGAGATACATATGATAATGGCGTCAAAAAGGAATGTTAAAAGCGTGAGATTTGATGACCCCGGTTATGAAGAAATATTGGTGCAGTGGCCAGCTGAATGTGATGATCTGCCTTCTGAAGAAAGTGATGTGTCAGAAGCAGAAACTGATGACACAGAAGATAGAAATTTCGACTTGGTTCCTGACGAGTATTCTGGATCCAGTTCTGATCATGTGTTGATGATATTGGTAAGCTTTCAACGAGCGGTTACATTGCTCCAAGTGGTCTGGTATGGAGTTTGGAACCTCCAGCAAAAGATAAAATTCAACCACACAACATTATTCGGCGTGCGCCAGAACTAGCAAGGAAACATATGGCTGCAACACCAAAAGCAGCGTTTCAGTTATTTGTAACTCCAGTTATTGTACAAGAAATTGTGAACTGTACTAATTTAGAGGGCAAACGTGTTTATGGAGCAAACGGAAAACCGTGGAAAGATGTAACTGTTGATGAATTTCTTGCATTCTGTGGTTTACTTATTCATGCGGGAGTTGACAGAAGCTGGAATGTTCCTGCGAGAGAATTATTTTGTGATGAATTTGCCAATCCTCTATAGCCACAATGTCCATATTTCGCTTTGAAGAAATACGAAGATTCGTCAGATTTGACGACAAGAGTACCCGGAATGCGCGTTTGGAAACCGATAAGTTAGCAATGGTGTCCTACATTTGGTATTTATTCATTCAGCAATGCAAAACCTGCGTCATACCTGATACTAATGTAACTATTGATGAACAACTCGTTGGGTTTAGAGGTAGATGCACATTCGTTCAATATATGCCAAGTAAACCGGCAAAATATGGACTTAAAATATTTTGGATGTGTGAATCTACGTCTGGTTATGCTTTGGATGGTTTAGTTTATGTTGGTCGCCAGCCCGGAGAACCTCCACATAAAAACCTGGGGCTTGAAGTAGTACAAACTCTTGTGCGTGGCATTCATAATTGTGGTCGCAATTTCACGATAGAGAATTTCTTCACTAGTGTTCCGCTAGCAACTTATCTGTTGGATAAAAATATTACTCTTGTGGATACACTACGTCAAAATAAGCGTGACATTCCGAAAGAAATGAAAGCCTCAAAAGATCGTGTAGTCTACTCTTCATTGTTTTGTTTTCAAAATAACGTATCCATGGTACAAATGCGTAATTTTACTAAACACTGTACACCACGACGCATCTATCAATGACGACGCTAAGAGGAAGCCTGAAATCATCTCTCATTATAATAAAACAAAGGGCGGTGTTGACATCATGGATGAAATGGTGTCGACATACACGTGCAAGAAACAAAGTAAACGATGGCCCATGACATTTTTCTTCAACATAATTGATGTTGCAGCACTCAATGCATATATAGTCTTTACGAAGGAACATCCAAACTACAACATAGGAGTGACTCACATACGCAGAATGTTTTTGAAAGATTTGGCGAAGGAACTAGTCATACCACATATGCAGAGACGATCTACTAACCCTAACCTACGGCGTACTGTCCGGGAGTGTATGAGCAGATTTATTGATATATGTGGTCCGCCAGCCGCTCACGCAAGTGCAACAATTAAGAGAAAAAGATGCTCCGTATGTCCCGCAAGTATTGATCGTAAAAACATAATGATATGTATTACTTGTAAAAATAATATCTGTAATGAGTAATGAGCATAGTATTAGAATGTGCACTAAATGCTTCTCTAATCCCTAAAAACAATAAACAATAATGTTTTTTTAACAGTAATGTTCACTTTCATATTTAACCTCACGTTTGTAACGTACATATGTATAAATAAATAAAGTTTTACTTCAATAACTTTGTTGCTGTTCTGACTACACGTGATTTTATACAGCGTGTCCCGTATCTTCTGCATCAGAGCATTATACGGTTGTAGGATACATTATTCTGAAGCGATCTTTCTAATAAAATGTTCCCGAAATGTTTATAATAACCGCACGGGAACTGTTTAAACGAACTGTTTTTCCTCCAATAGCAATTCAAGAAAAGCTTCGGGAAACACCTTCGGAGATCGTAAATCAAACTCAGGCAATCGGTCTCACTCCGGCCGGTCCACCGCGCCGTTCTACCAATAGATTCGACACGGAAAGAGAAATAAACTTTTTGCGCTATTGAAGTGAATCGGTATTGGAGATACTTTAAACAGTTCCCGTTCGGTTATTATAAACATAACAATGTATCCTACAACCGTATAATGCTCTGATGCGGAAGATAGTTCTGACTACACGTGATTTTATATAACGGGTCTCAGAAGCCCGGATTATGTAAATGACGATATTTTATTGGTTAAGTATCCTAGGGTTAAGATGGCTAAGTCCGAATGTTATTAGTTCTAGGTCTAGTGTTGGTTCTAATTTTAGTTCAATGAAAAATATACAACAATCTAGCACTGATTAACAACTAAATCTAGAACTAACGCTGGCACTAGACCTAACACTAGAACTAGAAACATTTGGCTTTAGCCATCCGTCTCTTAAGCTAAGTCCACACCAAAAGGAACAAAAAGGAACAAAAAGGAACATTGTGTTTATGTTGCTTGTTCCTAGAACTTGTATCTCAAAGTCAATGGATGTTCCTTATTGTTTATAGTTACTGAAACAAATGTTCCTACAAGTTGCTTGTTTCCGTATTTAGCGATAAATACCATTAGGAAATTTAGAAACATATGTAAACATTTTTGTTTCGAACTCAATGTGGACACGTCCATCATGAGGCATAGTGAAAAATGCCGAGTGTTTGTGGAACCTGCAGATTAGTAAAGCATTCATATATCGGGTGTTTAAAAATTGTGTTCCGATATTTTACCTACACTTATAGTTCTCATCAAGATAAACAAAAAAGTCTTAGTAAACTTAGGTCCTAAAATCAATTGTTTCAGAGATATAATTGATTTTACGTTGCTTTTCAATAAAGTTCATATCTACTCGTTTAGTCGTGTTACCCATACAAAACTAAACACATTTTGTCTTTAGTTATCGTCAATCTCACGTCAGTTTTGCTGGTGTAGTTGGGTGCTTTTATTATGTAAGCATGAAGGCGGAAATAAATGCAGAAATGGCAGACATGCACTTTATGTACGATGCAGCTATTGCATACTCGGAAATTTACCCCAACCATAACTTACCTAGTGATAAATTTTTCACAAAATTGCTTGAACGTTTGTCGGAAGTGGGTTCTTTTAAAACAACTCACCACGATGCTAGTCGACCTCGATCTGAGAGTACTCCTGCAATAGAAGAGGATGTTTTGAGAAGGGTTGAAGAAAATCTAAGTACGAGTGTAAGAAGGATCTCTGCTGCAGGAAACATTAATGCCTCTCTAGTTTGGAGAATTTTGCGTCAGCAACAATTGTATCCTTACCATGTTCAACGAGTGCAAGACCATGTCGCTCCTGACTACATTTTGAGAAGAGCATTTTGTGAAGTGATGTTGCAGAAGCTTGCACAAAATCCGATATTTCAGCCTAGTGTTTTATTCACTGACGAAGCTGCTTTTATAAAAGATGGAAATTTGAATTTTCATAACAATCACGTTTGAGCGGATGAAAATCCTCACGCTGTTGTGCATTCAAGAAGCCAGTATAACTTTTCTGTAAATGTTTGGTTTGGTATACTTGGTGATTGATAGGACCAACAATTCTTCCTAATCGCTTAACTGGTGAAACTTGTTTGGACTTTCTGGACATTCCAGGATAGGTTACAAACATGCATGATGGCGCGTCTGCACATTTTGCGATCATTGTTTGTAATTTTCTTAATACTAAATTTTATGGTAGATGGATAGGAAGAGGAGGTTCAATAGTTTGGCCACCTAGATCACCTGATTTAAATCCTCTAGACTTTTTTGCATGGGGTTACTTAAAATCATCAGTGTATCCAGTACCTGTTAATAAGTTGGAGGATCTCTAGCAAAGAATACAAAACGCATGTGAGACTATTCGCCAATTTCCAAGAGTCTTTGAAAGAGTGCGCGATTCTTTTGTACAAAAATGTCAAGCATGTCTTAAAATGTAGAGAGATGAAGATTAAGACGCTTTATTCACTAATAACACTGGAATTGTTTATATCTTCGAAACCACTGCTTTTAGGACCTAGGTTTACTAAGACTTTTTTGTTTATCTTGATGAGAATTATAGCTGGGCAAAATATCCGAACACAATTTTTGAAGAATTATTGTATTGTAGTTGTTGTGTCCATCTCAATATTTAATTGTAACGCAATAAAACTATGTGTTTTTTTAGAAGATGATTTTTAGATTTTTTAGAATTGGTTAGCTCCTGAAGATGATTGCAATTAGCAATTGAAACCGGTAGAGCCTAAAAGAAAACACATCTATCTTCTAAAAAAACACATAGTTTTATTGCGTTACAACAATTTTTAAACACCCGGTATATCAATATTTCCATTGTCGATCCTGGATTCTACTATTAAATCATCTTTCTCTCTAAAAGAGTTGGCCTAATCCAACATTTACAAACTTTCTTTTTCTCTTTTCGTAAAATAATAATAATTGTAGCCACTGGTGCCTGTACGACATCATCGCACCACCTTGTATGCAAATACTGAAACATACACTAATCTTATGTAGACGGAAAGTTTCTTTTTGCGGCAACACGGTGATGAGCAAATAAAATGAGTGTTCTTGGTGTGGACAGAATGTTTACGACAAATTTGTTATTGTTTTTGTTTCTTAAACAGTTTACGACAATCAGGAACAAAATGTGTTTCTTTGGTGTGGGCTTACTTTTAAGACGGCTAAACCTGAATGTTTCTAGGTCTAGTGTTAGTTCTACGTTTCGTTCAATAAAATTATACAACAATCTAACGCTGAACAACAACTAAAACTAACTCTAGACCTAGAACTAGAAACATTTGGGTTTTAAGAGACGTACTAAACACGTATGTTTCTAGTTGTAGGTCTAGTGTTAGTCCCGTTTTTAGTGCAATAAAAATACACTATAATGACCTAGTTTATCTATGAACATGGAATAGAGAATCTTGGGGAATCACCCGAGTTGGATTCTATCTATGAGCACTAACATTTATATTTAAATATACACTGTGTTAATTAATTATCGTACCCAACGTCATCATTGCAAGTATGCAACCAAATACGCAAATCGCGTATTGCAATACCAATACTGTAATATTGGTTGCATACTTACAACGATGACGTCGGGTACGATAATTAATGAACACACTGTACTGATGTATTAAATAGACAATGTTAATAGATTGACTTAAAAATATTTTGCATTATATCCAAAGTCCGTTATATCGGGGTTTTACTGTATTTTTAAAAATGATGCCAAACAGTAACCATTAATTTCAAAATCTTAATTAATTTTTATTTTTATTTTTTTATAGGTTAAACATGAACGATTATTCTTAGTATCAGTATTAGGTCTATTAGTAAATCTAGTAGGAATTTATGCTTTTCAACATGGCCATTCCCATGGGGGATCCTCTCATGGACATAGTCATGGGGGCGGCGGCGGTGGAAATCACGGCTCGCATGGACATTCACATAATTCTCATGGACACTCTCATGATGAAGATCTTGGCGGAACTAACTCCCAAATAATGAAAGGCGTCTTCTTACATATTTTAGCTGACACTTTAGGTAGTGTTGGCGTCATAATCTCCGCTATTTTAATGAAGATGTTTGGTTGGATGATCGCCGATCCAATTTGTTCCATCTTCATAGCCCTATTAATTATTTTGAGTGTACTTAGCCTTATAAAAGACTCGGTGGTGATTTTAATGCAACGACAACCGTATGGGTTAGATAATGTTTTACCGCAGTGTTATCAAAAGGTTGTTGGACTTCCAGGGGTCTATTCGGTACAAGAACCCCATTTCTGGACATTGTGTAGTGACGTGTACGTTGGGGCACTTAAATTAGAAGTATCAAAAAATGTTGATCCAAAGTATGTGGTTTCACATACACATATGATATTTGCGGCCGCTGGTGTTAGACAGCTTTATGTTCAATTGGACTATACGCCAATGTGATTCAATGTTATTGGATTTGAATGGGGCGAAAACGAATTTTGTGCTGTATGTGCGAGAATAAAACGATCTACATTCAGGGTGGTATTTAAATATTTTTGTAAATAGGAATTTATAACAGATTCTGTTTTTTGTAATAAGGGAAATGTAAGTTACGTGTTTAATAATATATTTTACATACATGCTTTTGTAATTTTATGGTTACTATTTTGTAAGAAACAAAAAATCCTTTAAATTAATTCCAAGTATGACTACTTTATCTCTTTATAGCTAAAAAAAAATATTGAAATTGGTCCATACCAAAAAGTGATTCTATTTCAATGTTTTTAAAGATTAATTATTTCTTGTTGGGCCTCTTTTTAAAGGATTTTTATTCAAGATTTCGTTTAAATAATAAGATTGTTTCTGCTCATTCCATTCATTGTATTTTCGTATTGGTTCGTTATGAGATTTTTTAAGCTGATTATTTAATAAAATGAAAGAACGATTTTATGATCAATATTTTTTTATTTAAGATTTTTTAGTTGTTTATAATAAATCCAATGTTTGTATAACGTGATCATAACATAGTTTAAAAGTGAAAAACTTAATCCTTAAGATGTGCTAAGAAATTGTTTTGTAATATACTGCAATTATTAGTAACTATTGTCCAAAATATACATATTAGAAATGAAGTAGGTTTTTGTAGTATGTCAGTAATCCAAAGGCCCAAATTTAAAAAAGAAAAATCCTCTTTGAAACAGTGCTGATAACTAAAATCAAGATCGCTTTATTAAGAACAATCTGTGATGAACATTTTTCAATTGCACGTTTTTAATTCATCAACTGTAGCTATATAAATATGGTAAAACCTTGATATAATGGATTAATGCGGGGAAAGCAGTGTCGGTTATAGCCAAAAGTCCATTATATGAACATTTTTAATTTGCCCTTTACACTGTTTGAATGAATAATTTTAACAGTTATCCACACTGTTGCGTTTAGTCTACGTGGCTGTATATCAAGGACTGTAGAATCTACAAGGACTGTTACATCCCAGGTGTAGGTGCACTGCTTGAAGGCCCGTTCGTGACATCACGCATGGGCCATCAATTGATAAGGAGATGAGAGAGAGAGAGCTGGAGGAAGATTTGTTGGAAAACGTTCTAAGCCGAAATATAAATGATGCAGTTTCTCAACCACTTCGAGATCCAGATCTAACTATACTCAAGTCTACCATGATAATGAAGAGTATCAATTCTTCCATATTTACCACTGACCACTCTGGTGAGAAAAGCATGACTACTAATCAATCTGCATTTTTAAAGTATGTATGAAGCAACGTATGTACCAAAATTCAGATTATGAATTCAGAGAGCTATTCCGGATGTTTGAAGCCAGCTTTACAATATAGAAATGAGCATAACTTTATTTGTTTTGTGGTATGATCTTCTTTTCGTTCCTTTCTCAATCTCTTTCTTGACTTTACAGTGTGTATAGAAAGAGTACATTGGTGACATACAAAAATAATAAATAACTATGTATTTTTAAAACTTTACATCAGGGATGTGCCTCTACACATCAACAAAGATTGTCACTTTAGCGTAAACAACGCGTAGACAATATAGACTATGTAATCTATGTTGACAACGAGTAGACTACGTAGACAACGCGTAAAAACGGTGCGTTGTATATTGCAAAAATTTTGTAGCAGTACTTCGCGTATACGTCGAAATTACCTGGCCGAAAGGTTCTGTCAACAACATTACTAGACAAGGAATATGAACGTTGCGTTTATTTGTAAAAAAAAATGATATATTTTCAATCTGTGCTATTGATCGATGGATGGAAAAACACAAGCAGCAATTCAAAAACTGTGGTAACGATGCTTCATAATGCTAAAGAAACGCAGGCATTTTTAAACGCGTGAGATGTGACTTGTGAAGCAGAAGATGCTAACAAACTTTCAGAAATTGTGATGGAATCAATAGATTTAGCAAAAACTTTCTGATGTTTACGCTGTTGTTTCAGATAATGCAACTATGATAAAGATGGGAAAAGAAGTTCCTATTTGGCATAGTAATTGCAGTAGCCACACTGCAAATTTACTTGCCAAAGACGTTATGAATGAAGAATTAACAAAAAAAGTGCACTCAATATTGAAAGAGTTCAAAACATCCAGATTTTGAGAGAGCTCTGGTAAATAGAGGAGGCTCAAGAATAAAAACACCGTGTGATACTCGTTGGTGCACATATCGAGATTACTATTTGTGCCTAATCCAAAACATACATGACATGAAAACTATTATAAATGACAATAATTTAAAAAAAATTAAACAACCTGTAAAATCTCTAATGTTTAATGATGATTTCTTGGATGAAGTCAAGGATAACATTGAGTTGTTTAGCCCCATTTGCAACTTAATAAACATTGCGCAAAAATCAGATTCATCTCTGCAGAAGTAGCACATTTATGGGTTTGTTTGGAACTGCCTATTAAATTTCTGAATTTTCAAAATCGTTTGGAAATTCGAAAGAAAATGGCTCTTAATATTTATGCCTTATGCGTATATTATCTTCATCCAAAATATCACACTGAGAGAAATGGATTGTACTATGCACTAAAAATATATTATAAGGTATAATACGTTTACTACGAAAAGTGACAGCGAGACGAGATTGTATTCAGTACAATAAATATAATGAATATAATACAATGAATTGCTGCATGTACAATATTTTTTCTATAATACGATTCGTACAACCTATTTCTCTCAGTGCATGAAGATGCAATATTAAGATTGTCGGAAGAACAATTGAAAGCAGTTCAAGATTTCTTGTTGAATAATTTAATTATCGAAGGAATAAATAGTTTTTATCAATTCAAAGAAAAGTGATACAATGCCTGGCGCTGCGCTATATACCCAGTCGGTGGCGTGAGGTCACAGTGAAGTTCATACCAAAACCGGGTAAGCTTAATTATTTCACACCGAAATCGTTTAGACCAATCAATCTCTTCTCCTTTCTTTTGAAAACTCTGGAAAGACTGTGTGATCGCTACATTAGAGATTTCTGTCTTCCAACTAAACCAGTAAATCCTAATCAACACGGTTACACTCAGGGCAAGTCCACACTAGCGGCCTTTCAGTCAGTGACCAGCTTTGTTGGTGGGGCGCTGGACCTAAAGGAATCCGCCCTGGGTGTTTTCATAGATATAGAGGGAGCTGTTGCTAAAACAACTTTCTCTGGTATTAACGATGCCTTGTTAAAGCATAATGTTCAACCGACTCTTTGTGGTTGGATGAGAACACTCTTAAACATAGGATAGTTAAGCTTAGGGCTGGCGATGCCAGTCTTCAAGGAGGAGTCATTCCCGGCCGTCCACAAGGAGGTGTACTGTCCTCACTTTTGTGGAATGTCACCCTGGATAGCCTCCTGAACCGCCTTGCTGAAGACAACTTTACCACAGTTGGTTACGAAGATGATTTAACCATTCTCGTCAAAGGCAAGTATATAAACGTGCTGTTTGATAGGATACAGGTAGCTCTTAAATTGATAGAGACTTGGTGTGACGAACAAAGACTCTCTGTGAATCCTAAGAAGACAGAGTTGAAGAATGCCATCCCTTGCTAATACTCCATTGGTATTGTCTAAAGAAGTTAAATATCTGGGCATCACACTTGACAATAAAATGACATGGAGAGCCCACCTAGATAATAGAGTAAAAAAAGCGTACGTTGCATTCGGTCAATACCAGAGGGCTATAGGTAAGACATGGGGTTTGTCACCCAAAATTGCCCTCTGGATTTACACGGCTATAATCCGACCTATGCTTACATATGGTGCAGCAGTATGGTGGTCAAAGACCTTACAGTCTACATCCACTGCTGCACTTAATAAAATATAGAGACTTGCGTGTTTGTATGTTACAGGTGCGCTGCGGACTACCCCCACTGCAGCCATGGAAAACATGCTGAACCTAACGCCACTTCATTTGTTCATCCAAGAGGTGGCATTGGTGACCATGATTCGACTGTGAGCAGCAGGAATTCTAATGGGTGAGAGAATTAGTAAAAATGCCAATCTCTGGAATGAAATGGTGGACTACTCACCAATTCTGGATTGTGCAACGGACTCCACACCCCTACAACACATTTTTACGAAAAAATATCTCACCCATCCTAGTTCCACAGAAGTAGAGGTAAAAAACAGCCTTACACTGATAGTTCAAAGAGACGGGAAGGAGCTGGAGTCGGAGTCTTCTTGTATGATCTCCGACTCTACGTATCTGAACCTCTAAGTACCACCGTCATACAGGAGGCTCAGTTAATCGCCATACAACTTGCCGCTGACGTTATTGTCAGTTCCAACTTGGTACGTAAGACTTTTTCAATTTATACTAATAGTAGGCAAGCTATTTTGGCCCTGAGTAGAATAACAATAACCTCAGGACTTGTTATGGGTTGTCATCTGACATTGGAGAAGGCCGCAGTGCATAACTGTATTATACTTCAATGGACAAAAGGACACTCGACCTGTTCAGGTAACAAGCACGCTGATAGGCTTGCTAAAAGGGCTGCCAATCGAGCACCCCGTTCGTCTGAACCGATAATCGTTCCGTCCTTATCAACTCAAATTGAGATAATTAAAGATTTCACCCACAAAAAGTTTATGAACTGGTGGGACAGGGTTAAGGGGTACCATCTGTCTAAGGAACTACTTCGTTATCCCTTAGCAGAGGCAGCCTTGTCTTTCGTAAAGCTTGGTAGAAACGCTCTACGAATTGTAACGGGACTCGTCACCGCTCACTGTAAGGATAACAAGCATCTTCATAACTTTAAGCTTGCTATTAGTCCTCTCTGTCGCTTTTGTGAAGAGAGCGAGGAGACTGTTAGACACATCTTGTGTGACCACTATGCAAGACCTCAGAATGAGAGACTTCGGAGAGGAATGGCTGACCACGGATGGCATCAGGAACACACCTCTGAGCTGTATTCTAGCCCTCGGAAATTCCTTAGCCTGGTTGATGTAGCCGGAGAAAGTGCAGGAGTATGTACAGGGTGGGCAAATTTGGGTGTTATTATAGGCTATCTCAGAAACTATAACAGTTACAAAAAAAGTAGGTGCCATGTCCCGGTCTCTTTTTCCGAGGCTAATCCAACCCCGTAAAGACCAAATCTCTATCTTCTTTTGTTTTTAAGTTATAGTCAAATTTTAGTGATTTCAAAAAATGCTCATATTTCGTTTATTTTTGAAATTAGAGAAATGGGGTTAATGCATTCTTAAGACACTTTTTTGAGTAGAATATACTGCCGTTGAAAATTTTTTAACATAGCTGATAATTTTTGAGATATAACATAAAGTTGTATTTTTTTAAATACAAACTATACTTTATTATGATATTACTGAAAAGAGCATATTTTTAGCTTTCCAATGATGTATCGCACGCATGATGTTTCTGCGGAAAATAAGCGTTATTTTTCAATTTTTAAAATATTAAAGATTAAAATTCAAATTTTTAATTATAGTAGGCGAGGAAAACGCTAAATACTACTTAGTTACTATAGCAACGTGAGTTTACTTGTCATTTCATTCATGAATTTTGCGAAACGAGTTTCCCGTTTAAGAAGTTCCGCATTATCTTTAAATAAAACGATAAAATTAAATATAGAATATATTGGAGTCCGCTTTGAAGATGATACATAAGTCTTCATATCCCCATTCAAACGGTGTTTCAATGGAAAGTCCGCTCCCAGTTTATGATTCCTAATTTTCCTCTATCTCACTCAATTTCAAAAGAAAAGATTGCTGATATCAAAAAACTTCTACATCTTATGTTTGGGGAAAACTGGGAAAATACTACCGAAGATTTCATTCATTGATACCGAACTGTTCTAATCTTACAACCAGTAAGTTGAGTAGAAGAAGATGACAGTTTATGACTGTTTAGTTCCTGAAGTTGTCCATATTTAATTATTCATTAATTAATACATTTCTTGTATTTTTAATAAACAAACTTTAAATGCTAATCATTTTTTATTGGTGAACAAAGTCAGGGATAAGATGCTGAGAAATTTAAATTAACTATTCAAAGTTTTTATTCGTTGGTACAAAACCAACTTATCCTGAATAATGGTACAAAACCAACTTTATTCTGTCATATTCGTGCAAAACCATATATTATAGCCACTAGGTAGTATTTACTGTCCGGAGCCGCCTACTATAATCAAAATTTTGAACATTAGCGCTTACTATTTTCGAATTGAAAATTATCGCTTATTTTCTGCAAATACACCATACATGCGATACATCATTGGAAAGCTAAAAATATGCTCTGTTCTTTAACATCATAATCAAGTATAGTTTGTATTTAAAAAAACACAACTTTGTGTTGTATCTCAAAAATCATCAAATTAATATATTTAAAACTTTTCAACGGCAGTCTATTCCACTTAAAAAAGTGTCTTAAGAACATATCAACCCCATTCCTATATTTTGATAAATAAAAGAAATATGAGCATTTTTTGAAATCACGAAAATTTGACTTTTTGGCTATAACTTAAAAACAAAAGAAGATAGAGGTTTGATGTTTGCGGGATTGAATTAGTCTCGAAAAAAGAGACCGGGACATGGCACCTACTTTTTTCGTATCTCTTATAGTTTCTGAGATAGCCTATAATAACACCCAAATTTGCCCACCCTGTACAAGGGGCCCGTTGGGGCCTAGGTGCTGTATGCGGAAGCACACCCCCTTTCCTACATACATACATGGCTCATGGTCCGTCTGATAATGGGATATTCCAATTCCTCCTTTCGGAAAATATTCTAAACATATTGTAGAAATAAAAAAATATTTAAAATAACTTTTAAATATTTAAAATGGCCATAGACTGCTTGGTCTGCCTGACAAGGTGAACTTCCAAAGACTCTATCTGCTAAAAAAAAAATTAAAAAAACCGATTTTTTGAAATTTTCAAACCCACTTAGGTTCACAACGAGTTCTAAAGCTAAGCATGGTGATGACTCAATACTTTTTTAAGACTTCTATAGCCATATTCAATAATTCTAATACGTTTTTGCTTAAATCCCATTATTTACATTTCCCATTCTTGAAATAAATTTTTAGTCTGAATATATGCAACTTACATTGCAGCGATGATTTGCTTCATAAATCCGTGTTTTCTCAAAGGCTGCATAGAATACTTTTTTAATTATTAGAAAATTGTTCTCATCTTTGAATTTATTCTTTTAATAAAAATGTAATAAATCAGAATTTGTTAAATTTTCTGGTTTTTGCGACATCTATCGATTTTTTAGATAGTTCTAGCTTTGACAGACCTCAAATGCTTTACATTTACAATATTTTTTGTAATTCGCTACGGTAATGCAAGCTATAACAGTACTCAAACGGGTGCTGTAATGAGACTCCTTACAGCATCCGATGCTGTAATGAGATTTTAGTAACATTTTATGGAACCAGTTCAAGTTAGTCACATTGGGTCATTAATTTTTCTAGTTGTCAATGTGACAATGTTTGTCTATGGATGTTTAAACACGTTCTTAGCATCGAATACAAGGTCCACAATGATGAGGACATTGAACTTTGAGCAATTTCTCTTATTTTGGGAGGTATACATGAAACATTTTTGTCAGGTGAATACATTTTGTGTTTTGACAGTTTCTAATTGCCAATTCAAATGTCTATTTTCAAGTGTTACCAACTGCTACATACCTATTTCCCTACATTGTCAAAATTTATTTTATGTTTGAGAAAAAAAAAGGATAAAAAAAAAATTACAAAAAATAGCATAAAAAAACACGTTTCATAAGACTTAAAGCACTCATTCATTAAAAAACTCGTTTTTCAACTTGAATTCGTGCATTTAAAACGTGTCTTACGAAACTTGTTTTTTAATATACTATTATCCTTGTTTAATATATACTATTATAGATACTATTATATATACAGGATGGTCCGTTACTAANAAATTGTTTCTGTTTAATTTTATCATGAAGTTTTCAAAAATCAAGGAAATCAAATTTGAAAGATTTTTAAAAATTCCCGCGCATGTTCACTAGCGCCATTGGTATCGCGGGTCACAACTAAAAACAGCGTTAAATCTAAAGGTGGAGAACACGCCATCTATATAAGTATATATATTTATTTAATCTATGATTCACTGTTGCTCTGTGTCCCATTAGTAACGGACCATCCTGTATATAGATATACTATATATAGATATACTATATATAGATATACTATATATAGATATACTATTATAGATATATTGTATATCTATAAACAAGGCTATTATGTTCGTGTAGGCAACAAAATATACAAAATAAATAGATAACCTAAAAAAATTCTCAGAATGTCACTGTCGTCACTGTTTTGAGGATATTCGTGCTGTTGATTCTATTGTGAATTTTTCTCACTAAATTCTAATAAAGTTAATAACTACTATAAGTGTCTTATAAAGCAGCATACCTACAAATTATCCAAACAAAGAAATAATCAAAATATCAATTATTTGCAAGTACTTTGGTCTTCAAGATTAAAAACAGTCCAAATTCATGGCCTATTTCAATTATAATTTATTTTTATTGTAACAATTTAATCATAATTGACTGCATAATTATTGACGTTAGTAACTGTCTGGGAGAAGAATAAACGGAAAAACGATGCCTGAAGCTATGCTAACGCTTCACAATGAAGATAAAACATTAACATTCAAGGCAAAAGCGGTTTGGAAAGAATCTTCTTTTGATATAACGATACTGGCGAAGAAAGCTTGGTACACACAGGTAAAATGAATAATTCAATTTAAAGTTTGTATGTTTATTTTTGTGCATTAGGTATCAGAAGAAGAGATTGAAAAATTGGCAAGTGAACGAAATCAAAGTACTAAAGAATATTATGCTACATTACAAGATTATTTAAGTAATGGCAACCCAGATGTGTTTTTTAATCTTACTTATATAAAAGATGGAAATGAGGAAAATGAAAATGCAGAGTTCACAATTAATCATAAATCTGGAGTCAGAGTGTTTTTGTTTTTTGTTACTAAATTAAAACAGGTTTGTACCAAATGTTCTTTAAATTATTATTGTATTGAATATATTCAATGATTTTAGATGGATTTTCATGAAAGTATATACAAAATACTTGATGATTTAATGGAAAAACATAATGAACTTGTTAGCCATGTTCAAATGCTTCAAAAAGAGAAAAAAGATATAGAGAAGGGTAACTATTTCTATTCAAAAGAATATAAATTAAATTCAGCAATTCGGTAGATTTATCTGTACAAAGAGCAATCAGAAATTTCTTGCTTTAACTAAGTCATTAAAGCAAAATTCTTTTTATGTTGCATACTTTTGGCTAAACTGAATATGTAAGATCTAAGATCCACAGTTCTTGATGTGCCTTTAGTTTATAGCCTGAACTTTTTCAATTAATTATTTCAACCATAACCGACATGTTGATTTTGTAAATTGGTTAATTTATGTGTTGGACTGCCATTGAAAGTATAGTAGTAATAATTTTATTTATTCAGGTCAACCAACAGATACTTCAGCATCAAATAAAAATAACATTTTAATAAAAATAGGGGTAAAATAATATCAGCAAAAAAACTAAACAATGTGACAAGAATAAATAAATGAGTGTAAAGTACTTGTTGGTCTAAATATATTGCTTATAGATATACAGGATGATTCGCATAAGAACTAACACAGAGCAGGGACGTGTAGAGGACAATAAATTAAGATGATTTAACGCAACTTGCCTATACTGGGTGGTTCAAAAAACCGCTGACAGACTTCTAGACTAGATAATACACGAAAAATCAAGATGAATAGTCTTAATATACATGGGGTCGCAAATACCTCGTTGGCGAGATATAGCGGATCAAAGTTTCTTTAAAATTAAACATTGTCTGTTATAAAAAGCATTAAAAATATTGTCTACGCCATTGCTCTCTACGCGTGTAAAGTGATCAATTATCTATCAATTGGTCTCTTCCAAACTTTGATTAAAGCAACAGTTTTTAAGAAAAACACGTTTGTAGAAAATTTGTTAATTCAATCAAAAACTGTTGCTTTAATCAAAGTTTTGTAAGAGACCAATTGATAGATAATTAATGACTTTTACACGAAAATACTGCCCTGTTTTAGATTAATCTATTCACGATAGTTTTTGAAGAAAAAATTGATCTACTAAATATGTGATCTCGACAATGTTAATGAAAATTATACTTGCTTTTTTTTTACTGTCTTGAATATGCACTTAGAACTCCAATGAGACCAAATTTATGAACGAAAATTGTTGAAAAAGAAAAGGCACCAAACATCATTGAAAACTCACTTTATTCTGTGTCGTAACAGCAATTTTTAAGAAAACGAAAACTGGTTTTTTTACTTGCGGGCGGAACGAACGTACACAAAAATTTCGGCACGAAAATAAAACGAAAATATACAATCTAATGGAATTAAATAAAATAAGAAAAATAAAAATAAAAAGAATGCAATTTTATCTAATGAAATTTAAACATACCGCCCGCCTTGCCGAACATTCGGCAACCGAATACAAAATAAAGAAAATATAATTTGAATCATTTAAAAATAATTGAAAAAAAAAAAACTCATATAAATTGAACGCGATCTTCCGGCTAATTTTCCACATGGAATTACAAAGATTCCGGAAGAGGAAACTGAATTTGGAAAATGAAATCAACTGTGACTGAATCGTACTCAATGAAAATAAACTGAAATATTAATCACAAACCGTTACGACGGAACAAAATATAATAAAAATTACATAATTAAAATGGGCGCGTCTATTATTCAGTTGAAGGGAGGACACACAGACGAACGAAGGGACGTGTTAACGTTGTAGACGGTGTTTTTAACGTTGCAACTCGAGCGTGTCCATCAGGACCATAGTGAATTTTCTCAATACGAGCAAGCGTCCATTTACCGGGGGGGAGGCGCTCATCCTTAATTAAGACCAGTTGTCCGATTTGTGGCAAATTATGAGGAACATGCCATTTGGTGGCATTTTGTATTGATTGCAAATAGAATCTTTGCCAATGATTCCAGAAATCCTCCAACATCCGCTGCAAAAGCTGCCATCGAGACAAACGAGAAATCTTTTCGTCAACGAGAGATGGTTCTGGCACTACTGTCAGAGAACCGCCTATGAGGAAGTGAGCCGGTGTCAACACATCGTAACTACTGGGATCGTCGGACAGCGAGCATAGGGGTCTTGAATTTAGGACGGCTTCGATTTGTATAAGGATCGTAGAGAATTCCTCATACGTGAGCAACGTAGAACCAACCACCCTCTTTAAATGTGTCTTAACAGACTTGACGCCGGCCTCCCATTTACCACCGAAGTGTGGTGCCGCAGGAGGGTTAAACTTCCACTTCGTACCGTCATCGACCAGCATGTTGGCTATTTCCTTCCAGTTTTTCGAAGCTGCTGCGAATAATGAACGAAGTTCACGATCGGCGCCCACTAGGTTGGTTCCGCAGTCGCTATATAGACATCGACTGATACCTCTACGGCCAGAAAATCTCTTGTATGCCGCCATAAAGCCGGAAGTCGTGTAATCGGTTGCAAGCTCAAGATGCACAGCTGACGTGGCTAAACACACAAAAAGAATTAAGTAAGCCTTATACGTTTTACCACCACGTCCTCGGAATGTACGGAGCAGAAATGGTCCGGCGTAATCCACTCCGGTGTGCAGAAAAGGTCTAGATGGAGTAACACGAGGTGTAGGCAGTTGTCCCATCAATTGTTGACTGGTTACGACCCGCTGCTTTGCACAAACCATACACTTCTGAATAAAAGCTCTTACTGGAACACGACCCCCGACAATCCAAAAGCGTCGTCGAATTGATGATAAGGTGAGTTGCGTTCCTCCATGTAACGTTCGTCTGTGGTGGCTGTCAATCAACAACTCGGTGATGCGGGATCTCTTGGGTAGAATAAGAGGGTGTTTTTCATCCCAGTCTAGATTTGCGAATCTAAGTCTCCCGGTAATGCGGAGAGAGCCATTCCCGTCGATGAATGGAGATAAACGGAATAATGGACTGGACCTTGAAATTACTCGACCGCCCAACAACTCTCTAATTTCCTCACGAAAAGAAAATTGCTGGCACTCTTGAACCCAAAACATTAGAGCCCTATCCACTTCATCGGGTGTTAAAACGTCTGAAACATAACTAAATTTTGAAAATATTCGCGAACACCATGCGGTGACGCGTAATAGTTTATTGAGTGAGGAATATCGGTGTTTGAGATTCCACCCTTCATCAGACGGAGTCGCAGTATGTGATGCAGGAGTTGAACGTTTTTCTCGTTCTGATTCAGAAGAAAAGTCCGGATGGAGAGATGGCCAGTCACCGGAAGATGAAGACAACCATGCAGGTCCAGACCACCACAGCGTCGCCTCCTGAAGCTGTCGAACGGGAACTCCTCGCGATACGAAGTCGGCGGGATTTTCTCCGCTGGGAACATAACGCCATTGCGCCTCCGGTAGATCGTGGATCTCGGTGACCCTGTTGCGGACGAAGTCCTTCCATTTCGATGGTTGACTGCAGATCCACGCCAGAGCCACAGTAGAGTCAGTCCAGAGATGAATGGGGATGTCGGGAACGTCAAGAGCTGACCTCACACGCCTTGCCAACCGAACCAGCAATACACACGCGCATAATTCGAGACGCGGGATAGTGACAACTTTAAGCGGCGCCACTTTGCTTTTAGAAAACACGACGGATACGCGAACTTCTTCGTTATCAAAAACACGCAAATAAACTACCGCTCCATAAGCACTAGTGGACGCGTCAGCAAAACCGTGCAACTGAATCGAATTTACCGACCGACCCAAACCCAACCATCGCGGTACCCTTATCATCGGAACACCGCGAAAATCATCAACAACCGTTTTCCATTGCCGTTCGAGATCCTCCGGGAGTGGTTGATCCCACTCAAGATTACGAGTCCAAAGATTTTGCATGAATATTTTCGCGGTAATAATCAGAGGCGAAAGCCAGCCGAGGGGATCGAACAATCGCGCGATGAACGAAAGTACGGTACGTTTATTTACTTTATCAATAGAGTCATAAAGGTTGTTAAAACAAAAGAGAAAGTGATCAGATGCATTATTCCACATAAGTCCCAATGCTCGAGGAGACTTGTCATCTTCGATATTTAATGTACGAGATTCGGCTAGTAAATCGGGCGTCAGTATGGAAATAGCTGCCGGAACGTTTGATATCCACTTTCGCGCAGTGAATCCGCCCGCCTTTAATACTTGAGTCAATTGGAAAATTACTTCCTGTACCTCGTCGACGGTATCCGCGCCGGAAAGAATATCATCTACATACGTGTCGTGTTGAAGAATTACGGCACCGAACGGTTGCGCTTCAGAATGCTCGGAGGCTAGCTGGCGTAAACAACGGATTGCTAAGTACGGAGCACATGAAAGACCATATGTGACAGTGGTCAATTCAAAATTTTGAAGTTCTTGTGAACAATTATTTCTCCAGACAATACGCTGGAATGGTTGATCCATTTCATGAAGTCGAATTTGTCTATACATTTTCNGTCTCTTTGGGTGAACGCCTGCGTCACCGGTGGTGCCTCGTGAAGAGTGGTATGATGAGGCTTTCGGCAGATACGACACCGTTTTAAAACCCGACACCTTCGTACGATATGCGGCCCCAAACAGTTAAAACACAATCCTCGATTAAGTACCAATTCTGAACGTTGCGCCGCGGTTTTCGCGAGGAATGTTTGACATGATGCAATATAATGAGCACCGCCGCACAAAGAACACCCGGCCGTAGGAGCAGAAGCGTTATGAACTTTTACATTGGATAGTTTAGACAACGTTTGCGGTTTACTTTTTGTGAGCTTTTCAATTGCTTCCAAAGTATAAACACGACCGACAAGAAACTCTTCGAGGTCTCCAAATGGCACAGGATCGCGAGAATGACCAATTGATTTTTCCCAGTCTTTTACAGTTTCCGCGTCCAATTTTCGAACCAGCATGTAAACCAGCAAGTGATCCCACATATTCACCGGACACCCGAGCGATTCTAAGGCTCCCAACGACTCCTTTACTTCACCGATTAACCGTTTGAGTTCGTAAGCCGACTCGTTTCTAATCGAACGTGCAGAAAACAAAATTGATAATTGCGCGTCGATCAACACGCGACGATTTTCGTACCTTTCGATGAGCAAATTCCACGCTCTTTGAAAATTAGCACTGGTTACTAATAAGTTTTTAATTAACTGAGCCGGCTCTTTAACTAAGCTCATCTTCAAATATTGCAGCTTCTCAACATCGGAAATATCGGCGTTATCATTAACCAGAGAGTAAAAAAGATCTCGGTACTGCGACCAATTAGCATAATCGCCGTCGAATGTGGGTAAATGAATCTGGGGAAGATGTCTCGAACCCGACGAAACGCGCACCGTTTGCACCATTGGAGTATCAGCGATAAGAGGAGCTTCTGTTGCTACTGTTTGATTGACAGGTTGACCGACCGAACCCTCGGAACCCTGCACGGGCATTAGGTTTAATAAATCAAGCATGAAACTTTTCGCGTCTAAATAAGCGTCCTCGCACAAAGTAAAAGTATCTTCCTTGAAATAAACGGTATCTAGATATTCGATTTTATATGGAATGAGTTTTTTATGGATATCGTTAAAGTCATTCCAATTTGATTCAAGCCGTTCAAGACGACTTTGAACAGCTCCACGGGTCCAATTAGCTCGACCCATCTTTTTTAAATTGTCAATAGTTCGTTTAATAAGCCCGAATACTTCATTTTGCCGTTCGAAAAACGGGTTCAAGTCCGTCCCGTCACCGAGCGGAGCCATCTTGCTAACACCGAAAAT